CTTCTTCTTCTTCTTCTACTACTGCTGCTGCTTCTCCCCCCACTCCTACTGTTCCTCCTCCTCCTCCTCCTCCTCCTCCTCCTTAGGAGCTTGATTTTTTAAAATATTAAAGGCAAAAATTACCATAACGTTCCACCCGTTGGAAAGAGTAAAAACTATTATAGACTAACAGAGGTGAGAGAACATCGACAGTACAAATATAAAATGTTCAGTAAAGTCTATGTATGGTGGTAGTTCAATGTGTGTTACTTTTACAAGCGCAACCAGACATTTTTAATGTAGCATCCCCTAGGGCTACCTGTTCGTTTGTGATTTATTGCGGATTCTCCCTAACACAATGTCTTGGTTGGTTGGACGGGACAGGTGTGTTACATGTTATGCATGTGTGTTCGTCGGCGGTTGGGGGTGGGTACCGTTTCTTATTTTGAAATTGTATAATTTATTGTCTTGCTATGGCTGTTTAGCTTAGTTTTACCTTAAAGAATGAAATTACTGAACCTGAATTTGTTATTCCAATGGCACGGAGCAGTCACCTGTCAGGACATCTAACTCAGAGTAATTTTGTTTTAAAAGTCATATTATTATTCCCACATCCTGTGTGTTTTAAAGTAATGCACAGATTAGACATTGCTTTCGTAGAAATTTCAAAGAAGGTCAGGATCAGAAGCGGGCGACCAATTAGTTAATGTATCTGTATTTGACATTGTGGATGCGCTGTCTAAAGAGAAACATTGACTCAAAAGATTACTATGAATAGCTGCGATTGAAACGACACCTTCTTGAATTTTAGCATGATGTATCATGCACAAACTCGAAATAGCAATACAAATTCTCGCATTATTGTATGAATCATCAAGATGTTTGCAGTGTTACTGACGATCCAATTAACGTTTATAAACGATACGCTTTTGCTTGCTCATGATTGGGAATAGTTTTGTGTGCGAACATTTGTTATCAATCAATTTTTTATTTTTTTTAAAAATAACGTACTGCACTTTATCATGCTCTGTTGCCGGTAAACTAAACCCAAGCATCGCTGTTTCCTCCCCAGTGACCATGATGTTGAGAATCTGTGTTTTTGTCTTGTCTTTCGGGGTTGCTGTTCTCACTGTCACATCAGCCGCCAACGTCACACCGGAGAGCACAGAGCACATCTTTGGACCAACAGGTCCTTCCACAGGGAGAGCTGTCAACAGCGAGGTCGACGTGGACGAGGAGAACGTTCTCGATCCGACCACCGTTCTTGACGGTATACGGTTACGCGATCTCAGTTACGAAGAACTTATGTTTCTCCTTAATAACGAAGACGACTTGTTTGTATCGGAAATGGACATCCTGGCCCTGAAGAAATTTGTGGAGAAGAAAGTCGCCTCTCGGACGTCTGGGGGCCTCAGGAAGAAACGAGCAGGCGTCCGAGCTTTAGGGGTGGCCCGTGGATTGTTCAGAGGGTCAACAATCGGCAGGTTGACCACTAGTGGACGAAGTGTGACGAGAAACTACGAAACACAGGGCGATTTTCACACTGCGGTGACCCATTTCAACAACCTGAACCCAACAGACAGATCCGCCTTCTCAGGTCGTATTAGTGGATTTACAGGAATGGTGGGAAATCACAGGGTGACTGCTCGCGACGGTAGTAAATTTGGCGCGCCCACTTTGGAAATCAGATCTCCCAAAGCTGGTGGCACGACTATGGTCAGAAAATTTAGGTTCACGCCAAGTGGAGTTAACCGATAGAGCACGGCCGCACAGTGCCACTCCGATTTTTTAAATGTTCTGTTTCGCAAAACACCTGCAAATAGAAAATAAAAGGAGCCAGCAACAAGCGGTAGCCAAATATTTTATCAATGCAAAGTCCTCGCCGCCATGTAAATGCGTGTTTTGGCAAAGCCCGTTCTAATAATAATATGTCCTGTTTAGAGTTAATATCCTTCAGGAAAGAAGAAAAGTCTAGAAATAAAAAGAGGGTCAGAACAATTTTATAATTTTTGTGTTTGTTGTTTGTTTGTTTTTGTTTATACATCACACTATTTTCAGCGCAGATATTGGTTAATATCCAGATGCAGGAGAATAAAACTCTATACATTTATGTTAACATCGAATAAGGGGACCTTACTACAGGTACCGGACGGGTGAATTTCACGACCATTTAAATTTCACAATACCACCTTTAAATTATTGCTGAGAGAGTTTTCAGAATGACTGTATCCTGTGTGTTGTGTTTTGCTCTGACGGATAAATCTATGAGATTATTAATATTTCACAATAAGTCCTCGGTATTTTGTTGTCGTTGTTATTGTTGTCGTTGTTGCTGTTGATATATATATATATATATATAATATTTCACAATAAGTCCTCGGTATTTTGTTGTCGTTGTTATTGTTGTCGTTGTTGCTGTTGATATATATA